AAAATAAATATATCCTATTTAATTCAAATCAATGTTATCCATTGGTCATTAAGGTCTACAACATTTCCTACAGTAATAATTAGTTGAAACAGCATTTCTTACAGTAATAACGCATTTATTACTCAAGGTTGGTTTCCGCAAAATTTAATATTAAGAGATTTAAATTCGCACATTAATTTTGATGTCTGACGACGTTTAACTCTCTGATAAGAAGGTCAACGTTTTCCGTAGTAAGAAAAATTAAAATATACACTTAATACGTTACAGATATATGACTGAATGGAATATATGCTGAAAGGAAAACGAGAACTAAATAATCCTAAATAAACTTCATTGGAAGTTATGTAACATACCATATATAAAATATTATCATACATTTAAGAAATAAGATAAGAAAATAATAAACTTAACATAAAATAAGATAATAATAAACTTAACGTTTATTATTTTCTTAAATTTCTGATACCATCTAAAACTTACACTCTTCTCCAAATATTCTCTTGTTTCAGGTTAATGCTGCTTATTTTATGTTGATAGAGTATGAAAAAATATAGGAAAAACGAAAAAGGTGTCTAACCGTTTCTAAATCGGAGATCTCGTATATTTCTTCGCTTCTAAAACGAACTATTTTTATTATATAAACGTTGCTAAAAATATGGAGCTTACAATTAGTAATGTCTCTTAGAATTCATGATTTTTACAAGTAACTAAATATTCCGAAATAACATTTTTTTCTATATTATATAAGGTACTTTCTCTCTCCTTCCAGCATGCCTTCGCTTTGTAACGGTTAGCACACTCGGCGTGCGTTCGAGAGGTTCAAGTTCGAGTCCGGCGAGGGCATTGCACATTTTTCACATCTCTTACTCCAAAAATCTTAATGACTCAACAATAACACTGATTTTAAACGAAGCAATAAGGTCGATTATTATTGAAATATTTGTTAAATGCATTTCAGAATTTGATTTCATTCATCCTGCTTCTCCGTTGATGGGTCTAAAATTAAGGGATGAATACTAGAATCGAAGAATGGCTGTAATTAATTATTAAAAATGTATTAATCACTAATTAGAAATTAAAAATGTATGTACCCTACTCTCCACACAGTGATGATTATTTTAGGAACAAGCAAATTATTATAAATTTATAAAGTGAAAATCTATACATAATAAACACATCTACACATAAATTCATTCCCATAATTTCTAGTCTGAAATACAAGTTTAAAATCTAAACGATAAAAATTTAATTTGTGGGGCGACAAAACGTAACAGATTTCTTTCCTTTACTACGTGACTAAAATCATCTTTGTCTAAGCAATTTAGTTTTGAAAATACTGCAAAATCTGATATTTGGGTTGCAGTATTTATTTAGTAAATGCTAAACTTTCATACTTCAAAACTACATAGAAAGTAAGAATATCCTTTGTAAACATCACAAAAGACCGGAATTTCATACATATGTTTCGTCCATCTCTAATTCGGGTTATATGCAGCTACGGTTATTATTCGATTTAATAGACCAAATTTGGAGACCATTATCTAGCTATGTTTAGCGTTTAGCTACCCTTAAAGTGATACTGAACAATTTTTATTCCGATTTTATAGACCAAATTTGGAGACCATTATCTAGCCATGTTTAGCGTTTAGCTACCCTTAAAGTGATACTGAACAATTTTTATTCCGATTTTATAGACCAAATTTGGAGACCATTATCTAGCCATGTTTAGCGTTTAGCTACCCTTAAAGTGATATTGAACAATTTTTATTCCGATTTTATAGACCAAATTTGGAGACCATTATCTAGCCATGCTTAGCGTTTAGCTACCCTTAAAGTGATACTGAACAACTTTTATGTTAAGTGTCTACATTCAAAAGGAATCTGGGAAAATATCTGTGTTGGTGTTTATCTGCGCTAACTCTCAAAATAATCCTTCAGAATAACACTTCTACATTTAAAATTATTCTCGAGAAATGTTTAAAAAAATTAAACTTTTAATGAAATATTCATTTTTATAAGACAACAAAAAATTTTATGGTTTTTGTTTTAACTAAGGCTATCTTTCACCAATCCTCTTAATAATTTTAGGCAAATTTTTAAAAACAGTATTTTTTTTTTATTTTTGCATTAAATGTTGATTTCAGATTTTGTTTTATTTAATTGTTAGTATTAAGTTTCTAGCCCCCGTATTGCTTCTTATTTTTGTTCTAATATGAATAGTTCGAGAGATTGGAAAGCTTCGTGAACCTTTTAGGCTTCGAATTCCTCCCTCACCTCAGAACAAACAGTCCGAGATTTTTATATATCAGTAGAGAAGAGGAACTTCTCCAGATAACTTAGTGAAGAGATCAGTAACTTTATAAGGCATTTCTCCAACTTCCCTAGCGTGCCTTTGTGGTGTAACGGTAGCACGCTGGGCCGGTATTCCAGAGGTCCGTGGTTCGATTCCCGGCGAGGGCGTTGTTGGTTTTTCATCTTGGCTGGCTACAAAAAATATGCTGTCTCTACAAGTGGCGCCCGAACTAAAAGGGTTGTGGATGATGATTCCCGCACCCAGGATTTGGCGACTAGGTCCCCTAAAACCGTGGTTCGATTCCCGGCGAAGGCGGTTGCATATTTTTCATCTTTTCTGCTTCCAATTAAACTCATGACTCAACAACTTTTGATCAGCAAAATAAAATCATTAATCTTTAAAATACAATCAGTTAAAAAATTAATTTTTTTTTCCTATGACTGATTTCCCTTGCATTAAAATGCAGTTAATTTATTGAATAAAATTTGTTTTAATTTATCAAAATTCGCTTATTAAAATATATTAAAATTTAATTTTGTGAAGAACAGAAACGGTGACGCAGTTATTAAAACTATTCAAACGTAAAACACTTACTTAGCGAGCTGCAATTTAAAAAGAAATAATAGGTTATTTCGACTTTAAGTTTGAGTAACAAATATTCTTAAAATATGACTCACACTTAATGATTAAAAGACAGGGCTCTAAGTTCGTAATATTTGATTTTGAGATAAGCTGCTGCAGAATTCATTCCAGAACACGGCAGAAAAATTGCCCCCAAACCAGTTCTCGATGAATTTAGGCATTCAACTCACGGTCGCCGAGATGACAGTTTACTAAAAGAGTTATACAAAAAGCAAAAAATATTTCGGCTTTATAATCGTTATGTTTTTGGTTTATGTCAGATGAAGTAATCACTGTGTAAGGTTCAATCATCTGTTTATAAATCTAATAAAATGATGATTAAATGAAAAAAAGTAAACAAAAGTGCTGTTCAAATCATTGGGTATAATTTACAACGAAACTTCTGTTTATAAGTTACGGTAAAAATAACAAACAAGTTAAGAAAGCTATTGTGTAAGCACTTTTACGATATCTCCTCAAACCCCCCTAGCATTATTAGTCAATCGTTAATACGCCTCACTTGCGTATCTTGATAGAATAATACAGCACGAGGAAAATGAAAACACACAACAAAACACTTGAGATGTATAATATTAATAAATTTATATTGCGAGTAGAAAATCCTGGTGTAATCATAAAATTAAAAGAAAACTCAGGTAAAGGATGTTACTCTGGCGGAAACCTGACAGAAATCCAGGAAAGTTTACATTACAGACGAAAAGGAATTTCAGTAGATTTTGTCTTAGCGCTGTCATTTTATTAATCCTACAGGCAAATATAGAATGTAAGAAGGACCGTTACGATCTAAATGCAGGTAGTATATAAAGCAATGTACAGGAAATCTGTGTACATTGTAACAAAAAGATACTAAATGAATACAAACTGTACCATTATTTTAGTAATCTAATAAATAATCACCGTGTATTTAAATAAAAATATTAGTCCAATATCTGTCAATGGTAGATTCCTTTACGTTAATAAAAGCACGGGCAGAATGTATCGACCACTACGCAGTTAACTCAAGCTGTAAGGCGAAAATTTCGTAGAGGGCGAGGTGAGACACCTCACAACCAAAAAAATAGCAGCACAAATAAATCTCATAAAAGATCATATTTTACGTTGTAGAGACATTAGATAATTTTTGGAAGCAGAAGAGATGACAAATTAGAAACGCCTTCGCCCGGGAATCGATCCACGGACCTCTGGAATACGCACCCAGCATGCAGACTACCACACCACGAAGGCATGCCAAGAAGGTGGAAGAAATACCTTATAATGTCAGCCATGACAGCTCCATATTAGTTGCCTAAAATAAGTTGTAGAGGCGTTAGGGTTTTGACGCTGGAACGTGAAAAATGTGCAATGTTCTCGAATACACGTTGAGTATGCTTCCAATTACGCCACGAGGGAATGACGAAAGGAAATAGAAAATACTTTGTAAAGTAAATCGATGATTCTATGAACACGGCCTCAAAACGTAGAGGACAGTACAGAGAATAACAAAACATACTAATATATACTAACAGTATATAAATTTGTTGCTGTGAATCATTATTTTCTCTATCATATGCAGAATTCATCACAGAATTACATAATTAGAAATTTTCCATTTTTACTTCATTATTCCGAATTACTGAACAGAGAATCTAAGCTGGTCTGTACTGTTATTTCACGACATTCTATTACCCTGTAAAAGACTGAGACTGTTACAAAGGTCATCGGGATGTTCTGTATCTACAGTATAGCTTTCTAATGATAAAAATCTTTTTTTTTTAAATGGTAGTTTTTAGTTCCAGGTGGTTGATACTCTAGTACAGGGTTTCTTAAGCTGTGGGTCGCGACGACCTGCAGTAGTGGGCAAAATTTTAGCAGTTTTGATATTTCTTTAACTTATTATAATAATTTTACAATTACCAAATATTTTTACACAATGTATCTTAAAATAGATAAGACAAATAAGATAATAAGATAAGACAATACAGACAAAGGAAAAAACGAGAACGTTTCGACGCATTCTTTTAATATTCTAAACATTAATTTTCCTTGCTTTGCACGTGACGTTTCATCTGTTACTTTATTTAAAATTTTCACACTGTTGTATGTCTTAATATTAGAAATTAAAGTTAATGACCTAAAACTGCAATAGTATATTACAGTACAAGTGAAAAGATTGTCAGTTTCACTCACGCATGTGTCAGATTTGGGCAATGCTTACAGGGTCCTACAAAACTTTCGTAAATATTATGGGGGCCCTGAGGTCGCGAAAAAAATCTCAGTGATAAAAAGAGGTCGCGACTCAAAAACGTTTAAGAAACCCTGCTCTAGTATAAGCCGTTATATCACATTGCTAAGGACCCTAATAATCAAACAATCAAAGTCAAACAAGATCGGTGTCATGAGACATGCAGGTCGATCAGTTAACATATTTAACTATTTACCCTGACAGTGAAGGCTTTGGGAATTACAGATACGGACAGCATTGTAGTAAATAGCTTCAATTATTATTTGGTTCAACAAAATTATTGACGTTCTCCATACTGGCAAGAAAAAGGTTTATATCCTAGACAGCTGCGTATACAATAATTTTCCACAAAACTGCAAAAGTAGATTCTAAAATCAAAACGAAAGTATAACAGAACATTAGATTATATTAATTTCATTACATAGTGTGAAAACTTTTTTAGAAAGCTAAATTATTTGGAACATATGATCCGTTCGCGGCAGAATTGAATCTTGGAAATGGAAACAATTTTATGAAACACGATATTAAAAAAGACAAAACCAATGATTACTGCATTTTCAAACTGAAAATATTAACATAACGGAATTTTTAAAATACGTTTTTGAACTGCCAATTTAATTGTTCCAAAAAGATTTATTTTCCTTTATTTATTTATTAATTCATTTCCCGGATGCAACATCAAATATATATGAATCACATGGATATACATCAAACCTACTCTGAACTATTTTTGAAATTTATATTACTGTATAAAGCGAGGCAAGGAAAGCATTTAATTGTTAATGAGTTAAAACTTGTCACCGAATTTAAATTGAATAGGTTTTGACAGAAATTCATTAAAGAGGCATACATATATAATTAAATTACAAACTACTAGGATTTAAAACAAATTACCTGTTCCACGCTACGTTGAGTGCTTTGAATATTACCACAAAAATGGTGATCTAAAACACTAATTATTCAAATATGATTCTGAACTGAATGTTTGTCATGAAAAGAAATATAAAATATTTAAATTTCTTGTCATATTTGAGTTCAGCTTATTGAAACAAAGATTTTGTGTAAAACACAGACCACATCTAAAAAAATATTAGGTAACATATCTGGAATAAGCATCTCGGGAGGAATTAAGTATTATATAACTATGTTTTAATAATGGTAGGCTTAAGAGTTTAATCGTTTTTATTCATGCACTTTTCAAGCATAAATTTAATTATAATGCCACGCTATAATAACTGCTACGGTTTGTTAGTAAATTCTTCCATTTCTCCAGAAGAACGAAATTATTCAGCTTTTTTTATTGACAAAAACTCTCACAATTTACTTATTCACTCAGAATTATAAAGTTTCGACGTTCAGATTGGATTAACTCATTTTGTTACACAAATTAATTCAACTGTGCACTACTGAGTGCTTTAAAAAACAGAGGACATATAGAATATTTATCATAATATTTTATCCTATCTCATTATTGTCCTATGTACATAAAGCCAAACAATTGATTCAACTATAAACAGTCAGTTGCTCAACTGCGGCCACCGGTAAAGCTTAATGCGTATGTCCCTGTATCATACAGAACAATGACTAAATAGCAGCAAACACAGCACGAAGTTTTCCAGGCTTTGGGTAGAATCCTTACTTTACGTAAAATGGACTTTCAGGAAGCACTCATAAAAATTTTCATAAAGAAACACAACCATGCTCTAAAGATGTCTAGATTTATTTATCCCTCAACGTAGACAGAGTTACTGGCATGCCTTGCTGCCTCTCAAGACCATTCACCATATTCTCCATGCTTTTCAAGTCGCTGGAAGAAGATCCTACAGAGCTGGTTCCGCCATCCGAACCAGGAGACGAGGAACACTTAAAATGACTGCTATCGTAAGGAGAGCCTGTTGAGATGGGTGATCGTAGTTCCGACAGCACCGGTTGGGAGCCAGAAAGCGACACAGGTGTTGTAACCACAGGATATGGCCAAAACCTTTGGTGGTGGTACTTCATAGGATCGGAGGTAGGTGAGTAGCTTTGGTTGAACAACGACTGCGACATCGCTAGATGAGCGTTGTACAGAAGATTTGGGTGGAAAGAAGACGTTGATGGACTTTGTCCGAAAGGCCCAGCTAAAGGAAACGGCGCAGGATTGCCTCCCGGAAGGAACACCCCAGGCGGAGGGGGCAAGTATAGTCCTGATGTGTAGAGGTAGGGCATCATGTGAGATGGAGGAAAGGAAGATGACACGCTGACACTTGGTCCACCTTCACTGCTCACGATGGGGCTAGGTGCCGTTGGTGAGGTACGGTTCTTGTCAAGACTTCCAGATAAACTGTAGGAATCCCGCTTAGGTGTTTCATTGGTGTTTTCTTTAGACCTAAGCCCATTACTAGGCACTGAAAAATACAATGGAGAAACTTAGAAATCTCAATGAAAGAAAATTAACATTTTTCCATATAGTTTTAAATATAGGTACAGGTAAAAGCATGGGGAACACCAGCGATGTACCATGAGTCAGCTGGTAATAGTATTAAGTATATCATTATCATTATCACTATAATTCTTTTAATACGAACGATGGATTGTGGAACAAAAATGAAAAAAATTCCAGCTTAAGGAGACTCGTACACCTTAAAACCCATAAGATCTTCGAATATGTGACTGTTGCAAGAATTAGGATGACTTATTTATTTTAAAAGCAATTACTTCCAATGTTTTACAGCTGACTACATAATATAGTTGCTTTCTGAAATAGTAATCAGAAAGTTTGTGTTGCCACAAATATTTTTATAATTTAATCCGCTTTGTGACAAAAGTTTTCGTCATGTTTTCACCTTCCGCGCACAGTTTAAAATATTCTGTTGCATAATTTAATTCCATATTTAACATATATCTTTAATAACATTTGGAAACTACTGTGAACCAAAAATTCTAAGAACTTCATGTTAAATTTTTATTTTACTTGGAGTTGAGTTTATAAGACGTATTTTATTAAAAAAATCTGTAATGTTTTCGTGCATAAAATTTTATAATATTAAAATATCCATCAGATTTTGGGTTCAGTTAGAAAATAGTGCCCATATAAAGAATTCCATCCAATTTCAAGTACGTACCATTAGCCATTTTTAAAATATGCGTGCAAGGTGGAAACATGACGAAATATTTTGTCACAAAGCGGATTAAATTTCAAAACTATTTGTGGCAACACAAATGTTTTGGTTACTAGTTTCCAAAGCAGCTATATTATGTAGTCAGCTGTAAAAAGTTGGAAGTAACTGCTTTTAAAATAAACAAAATATTCCAATTCTTGCAACAGTTACATATTCGAAGATCATAGGGGGCTTAAGGTGTATGGGCCCCCTTAACGTGCATCACAATATCAAGCTTTCTCGAGTATGAAATTGCATTATGCTTTCTTTTAACCCAGTATTTCTCAGAGTGGGACCATTAAAAACTGCTCGTCCCTTGTGGGAGTTTGGATTACTTAAGGCTGAGTCCAGCATGAAAAAAAGGGAAAGGGAAATTGGACTTCAATGTGGCGGCAGCATTGATAATAATTTTACAACACGAGTTACAGATGGTTAGATATAATTTATCCAGCAACTCAACACAAAAATTGTATGCAAAACAGTATCATGCTTAGCAATTCTTTTCCCAAATAATAAATTTCTAGTGTCATATTGAGTTGAATGCCTTAGCGCTATAATGTCAGTTTTTAATAAAAGAAATTAGTTTCAGATAGTTAACTGTGATTTAGTACTTCGATAGCAGATCTATCAACTTTCCAACTTATCAGTTTTCCCTCCAGCTCATTTAGTCATTCATTAAATACGAATATATTAGTCTATTTATATACTATTATTATTGAAGTATTATTGTTAGTCTATTTTAAATGAGACTGATATTTGCAGCCTGTCATGCATGCTCCTACAAGCAGACACAGTCAATAATAATAATAATAAGTAGAAGGTGAAGATTGTTGTCACTAACTACAAATCTAAATTTCAATCGTGGATCACTATCCTGATCGCGTCTGCATTACAGAAAATGACTTTAGGAGGCGTAGTTAGGGTCTACCGGAGGCCGAGAAGTAAAGTCGCTAAACGCTAGTAGAATCGAATCCCGGCGAACGGGCTATCTGCATGGTTGGTTTTCTTCATGCGTAACGTGGCTACGAGCCAGTTTTCCTTAAAAAGTCCCCCACGAAGGCATCCCTCCTTATAGGCATATAGCCTTCGAGTTGCTTTGCTTTTATTAATTAGCTTAACCTAACCCGCTTAGTTAAAATCTGAAGTTGTTTCTGATCTTTCCTTACAATTAAAATAGAAATCAAATGCACTTTTCCTAGAAAACATCTTTTTTTCTTTCTTGCAATAAATGGAATTTATTTTCCTTACATTTTTTAAAATTTCAAAATCAAAAATCCATTAAAATAAAACTTCAATCGAATTTTGGTATTTACCGGGTTGAATTTCCCATTCCTTTCATGTGAACATATAGCTCCAAACTGTTATTATTAAGTATTATCCTTAGCAGTTTTCAGAATACAGATATCGTCAGCACGATTCCTTAAGGACACCGAAAATTACTGTGACTCATTCTAGCGCTCTTAACAATTTTTTATTTAATAAACTTTTTTTGCCTTTCTCAAACTGCAAAATACTGTATTATTTCTTCGAAAACATTCCAACAAATATGATAAGATAGCTATTGTAACATGAACTGCCATTTTTTTTTTTCTATATAAGAGTCGATCTACTTTCTACCAATTAATGCTCAAAATACGTCTTCACTTAACATTCCATGCGCGTTGTTTGTTTATAAAATGATTCCAAATTTCTGGGAGTATTTGACAAACTGCCAACTATAGCAGACGGATTGCTTCTCGGCTCTAACAATGTTTATCTTAACATGACAATATTGCTTTTCCATATCTCTCCCAATTAAAATTACAGGCGATGATAAGTTAGTTCATGTAAACATTCCCAACGGTAACAATGTGTAATCACCAGTTTGCTCGTTTGAGTATTTCTCATGGGTTATGCTAAACGGATTCCCTCGCTTGGAAAAAACTTTAATTCTTTGCAATGGAAGTACAGGACAGTCATGTATGTTTAAAAGTCCAGATTTGTTTTTGCGCTGTTAACAGTAAAGTATCAAATATTAGCCTTTTGTTGCATCATGTCCACTCTAGCAGAAACAAGTTTAAATTTGTTTATTCTTCTCTAAATGCCTTCTAAGATTCCATTCCCGTGTTTTCTCATTCTATATTATTAAAACTTATAACTGTCGATCATAGATGGCTGTATAGCATCACTATGTAAAGCAATTGCTATTTGGAAAACGGCTGCTACTTCTGTTTCCGAGTTAGTACAATTTCTCATAATAAACATTACATAATATTGCTTACATTTTCTTATACTGCCATTTTTTATTCATAATTCGTCATTTTAGACATTTATTTTAAATGCCAATTTGAGAAAATTGTGAAGTGGGTAGATAAAGATCTACCGAAAAGAGTGAATTGAAACCCAAATGTACTGCTATCAAGCCAAAACACCACTGGAAATGTTTATCTTTGGCAAGGAATTTCCAGAACATTTGAATCCAATAGGTACAGGTTATAAAATCGTAACAAAATGAATTCAATCACAATCGACGAAACAAAGGTGTTTTGGGGGATCTGTATGTACATGTCAGTTGTAGATTTACCATTCAGAACATGGTAATGGTCACTGCCAACAAGGCAGGAAATAATTTCAAATGCAATGACCGTAAATCGTTGGGAAGAGATTTGTATGCATGTACGTATATGCATGCTGTCCACTGTAGCGAACAAACTGTAGCCATTATTTAAAACGAAATTTGAATAAAATTATTTTTTTAATAATTACTAAGGTTATTTTAAGTAGAAAAAATACAAACATTTTCGTTTAACTTCTCTAGATTATTTGTATGCAACAAAGGGTTAAACTTTTGTTTTTAATGTTAATTTATCTGACTTACAATATTCACAATTTCTCGGGTAAGATGTGTAGTGTCAATTATCTTTTAACCATGTTACACAAACAATGGACATATACCTCCCATACTTCTTAGTTTTAAAAATACTTTAATTACAAACATTAACAATGCATTTAAATTGTTTTCAAAATGTTCACTGCGGAGGTAGGGGGGAAAGAGGGACAGCTTTATATCTCGCTTTCTACTGGGGCGATTGACGAAATTCAAATTGCGTTTTGTCATGTCTCGAAAGCGCGACTTAAGATATATATTAGATTTATATATAGCATTGTTTTAATATGAGTATTTTGACACAAAATCGGGTTTTTTCTGAAATAACATAGAAATTTTTTTCCATATTTCGATTCTACGGCTCAAATTATACTTAAATATTACATTTTGTAAAATTTTGTGCGAAATTTACGGAGAAATTCAAAACTTATCTTGGCGAATTTTTTTTTCACTTTGCGCCAAGAATAATTCACTTGGCGAACTTCTTAATATATGGCAACCTCCATTGAAGGAGGAGGAAAAAAGTCACGTCATTCTTACTTTCAAATAATTTTAACAAAGTGGCTGAACCATATTTAATGTAATTATCGCTTTCAACAAATATGCCAAATTTCAAAACGCGCCAATATATAAATTCACGTATATCTTCGGAAATTTTGTGTAAGAAACTGCAATTTTTTGCAGGCATCTACTTTAAGATGATGGTAAAAGTTTTATACATTATAACTCAAATTTTTTTTCGAAAAAATTTATAAAAATTATTTTAGAAAACAATTTTTAAAAATAAATCATAAAAAATAGACGAATTTTATTTGGAATGAACCTAAATTTCGAAATGTGAAAGGAAGAATTAAATAAGTTTAATAAAAAAAAGAGATATTAATAAATATATACCAATCTCAATTAACACTGAGGCGCTAAAATTTTAAAAACTACTCGTACGATTTTTCAGAACTTAGCAGTTTGGCGTACTTTGAGTCGTAGAATGGAAATATGGAAAAAAAAAAAAATGGCATGCCATTTCAGAAAAGTCCGATTTTTGTGTCAAATTACGTATGTTAGAACAATGTTATATATAAATCTAATACATAGCCTAAGGCACGCTTCCGAGACATGGAAAAGACAATTCGAATTTCGTCAATCGGCCCACTAGAACGTGAAATATAGAACAATCCCCCTTTTTTTTTCTGCGCAGTGTTTTTTTCATAGTGCATCTTTCATAATTTCGCAGTGCATATTTCATAAGTGCAGGCAAGTCTGCTAAGGGCCCGCCATTGGTTAAAAAAATCTCATTACAGTGATTTAAATTAGTTTAAAATAATACAAATACATCACTTTTTTTTATTAATGTTTCTGTGAAATCTTCAGAGCAAATTTTTAGTGAATTTCAATTTGCAAACGGAAACTTCATTATCAACGTTTGAACTTCATAAATATTTATTTTATTGCTCGTTATCTCTTAGCATTTCATACATTTTCGAAGAAGTCAAGTGTGTGTGTGTGTGTGTGTGTGAATACGGCAAAGCCTCGAGGGCTATATGCCTAAGAGGAGGGATGCCTTCGTGGAGGACTTTCTAAGGGAAACTGGCTCGTATACACGTTACACATGGGGAAAACCACGCAAACGCCCATGCAGCCAGCCCGTTCGCGGGATTCGAACCTCGGACCGAACTACCAGTGTTCAGCGACTTTACCGCTCGGCCGCTGGTGGGCGTCGAAGAAGTCAAGAATTGTATACTTTTTTAATTTAATTTTATTTCTATTTTTTATTTTATTAATTGAGTATTTTTCATTTATTATTATTATTTCTAGTATTGTTTGGGATTCTGAGTTTGTTTTTATATTTAGATTATGTGTTACTTTAATATTTTGTGGATTAATTTATTATTTATAATTTAATTAATCCACATTAGGCCGTTGAAAAAATAACACGTACCTTCTTGTTCGCCAGAGAAACAAAAATTGGGTCTCAGATCGGCCACACTTCCCACATCGACTTTCTCATCGTCATCATCGCTGCTTTCTTCTTCCATCTTGTGATCGTTTATTCCCATACTGCTGCGATCACGGGATCCGCCATCCTGGGAAAGAAGCATACTCTGACGCCTGTTTGAAAATGAAAATGAGATATTATTATTTCCAACACCATGATGGATCACAAACATGCAAATGAAATTTATTCATTCATTAATAACACTGTTCTTCAGCGGGACATTAGAATCTCTACACTTAACATTTAGCAATTCGCTGCTTTAAACGTCATATTCATTTTAGAACAGCAGTTCTCAACCTTTTGACTAACGCGTTCTATCTAAACAAAAATTCAAAAACTTTAGCACCAACACTACATTTTACAATGATATTTTTTCAGTTTCTCAATAGGAATATTAAAAAAAAATATATTTTGCCATTTGTGCAACTTATTGGCTATATTATTTATGCACACATAAAAAAATATTAGATTAAAAATTGGTTACCATTTTAATTATTTTTTAATTATTTGAATTTTTGAATTTAATTAAAATTAGTTTAAAATACTTTGTTTTCCACCTATTTTTCTCTTGCGTACCACCAGTTGTGAACACCTGTTCTAGACGATTGCAGATCTGATGACCGGGAAAAATTTGTTTCTACATATATAGCACATATTGTACTAAATGAATAAATTGCTGTGAGAAAAATTAAGAAACGAAACGTTTTTATTATAGCATGGAAAAGTAAATAGTGACAGATATATAAGCTAGAAAAAAGCGTATTGCTGTGTCCCTAAGAAAAAAAAAAAAAAAAAAAATTAAATGATCAAACAATCATTTTATGCTAAACTACCATCTTTAATTAATTATCTCAATAATTTGAATTTTAAATGAGTCTCCAATTTTGTAGTGAGGATTAGAATTCGGTCAAACTTCATACTTAGTTGCTGATGTTGGTGAAAAAATATTTACTTCATTTGTACCTTAAGAGTTACTGGACAGACGGATATGCACTCATCACGAGTGCAAAACAAACGGAAAGTACAATTCACGACCAGTAGAATCTGTTTCAAAGCGAAGATTTAATATAAAAAAGATGAGTGCCAAGTTACTCACATGATAAGACGTGTACTAAAAGTAGTCTTGTGGGTCTTTGACTGCAAAAGAAGGAGTACGGTGTTGCTTCAACACACGAAAAAAGGTGCTTACTCCGCACCAAAAAGGGGGAAAATTTCAATTCTTTCTAATCACAACTTGCAACAAACGGAAGACTAATTGATCTACGGCACTACAATACAAAACTGATGTGAAAGCTCTATTATTTTAATCTGAATTTACCGATCACATGAAGCAGCCCAATAAGGCATAAACCAGACAACCTATATTGCTTGCATTCATACAAGAGACTGCATATTATCCAAGCTGAATTTGAAACGAATCGTGATAAGACAGAGCTTGTCAAACCAAATAAGCCCAATCTAATGTCATGAAATATTTAAAACTAGGAATAACTTTATGATTTTTTACGGGCTACGTTTTCGTGGTATGCGTAACGTATACCACGCATACCTTAGAAAGTCCTCCACGAAAGCATCCAATCCCTCAGGCAGATAGCCCTTCAGGTTTTTGCCGCAATTATATAATGATTTCTGTGGTGATATCCACGCGAAATGGTACAGAGATTAAAAAAAATATCAGTTACTTACAGTCCAAATGAATCATAAAGTCCGACTACGCTAAGCAGCTACAGACGCGGTTTCTGTACGGTTAACGCACACTAAAACTCTTCCGGAATAATACACTCCAGAGACGACCATCTCAGGAAGTTAATAGTGTTTCAGTCTTAAGGGGGCTCATACACCTTAAACCCTTAAGATCTCTCGAATATGTGATTGTTGCAAGAATTGAGATATTTTGTTTACTTTAAAAGCAATTACTTCCAACTTTTTACCAGCTGACTACACAACATAGCTGCTTTCTGAAATAGTAATCAGAAAGTTTGTGTTGCCCCAAATATTTTTGTAATTTCATCCGCTTTGTGACAAAATCTTTCGTTATGATTCCACCTTCCGCGCATGGTATTTTAAAAATGGCTAATGGTACGTTCTTGAAATTGGATAGAATTCTTTATACTGGCACTATTTTCTAACTGAACCAAAAATCTGATGAATATTTTAATATTAAAAAATTTTATGCACGAAAACATAACAGATTTTTTTTAAATAAAATGCATTTTTTAAACGCAACTCCAAATAAAATAAAAATTTAACAGAATTTTTGTTTCACTGTAGTTTCAAAATGTTATAAAAGCTATATTATTAAATATAGAATTAAATTATGCACAGAATGATTTAAACTGGGCGCGCAAGGTGGAAACATGACGAAAGGTTTTGTCACAAAGCGGAATAAATTATAAAAATATTTGTGACAACACAAACTTTCTGATTACTATTTCAGAAAGCAGCTATATTACGTAGTCAGCTGTAAAAAGTTGGAAGTAATTGCTTTTAAAATAAATAACTTACTCCAATTCTTACAGCAGTCACATATTCGAAGATCTTATGGGTTTTAAGGTATATGAGTCCCCTTAAATGACGAACTGGACATCATCATTTTCTCTACAGCGACTACCTCCGCAGAAATGTTCGTCTTAGGAAGGTTTCGCTACGTATCAAAAATAAATCCAATAACAAAATTTCTGAAAGGTTTCAGATTTTAAGGTCGACCAAAAGGGTTTATTGAGGTTTTTTACGGTTCCGCTGAGCTACCAGTCAGTATTAAACTCACTCCTACTAATTCATTTTTTCCTTTCTAGCCTTACTATTAAGCATAATTTACTCCGTATACAATTCGATAGCAAAATTACAAAAATTTTAAAAGTAGCATAGCTGTATAGGTTTAGAATTACCAATGCAGCGTTCTTTTTTATTATCCCCCCCGTCTTTTCTCACTTTATCGTATCAATATTCCGTTTACCACGATGGCTTTATAATGTATTTATCCCGCCTCCTTGGCGTGCCTTCGTGGTGTAGTCGTGTGCACATGGGTCGGTATTCCAGAGGTCCACAGTTCGATTCCCGGCGAAGGTGTTGCATATTTTTAATCTCTCTTGCTTCCAAAAAAATCCTTATGTCTCTACAACGTTACAAACCGAAATTCCCTAAAAAGAAATCTTGCAAAATTTCACGAATTTTCTCTTACTTAGCCTACACTGTATGCCTTATATAGTAGAATTACACATTATTTAAGCGCATTCGAATGTACGCTTTATTACATTATGAAGCATTTGAACTAGGATATCCCCCATCACATACCATTCTTCGTTCGATTCATTGAGTCTTCAAAATGAAGGGAAAATTTGCCACAAATAATAAAATTTCCATCTGTTAAATATTGAAATAAAACCATTCCTCCTGCCGGAATATTGACGTCATTCGAAGAGAGAGGTGAACAGGTGGGGTGGTCACGATAGCGACCACTATTAATGGCAAACGAAAATAAAACGAAAGAAAGAATGATCTGTGGAGAAGCATCAAACAATTTTCCTCTGCCTCCTAATTTTGAGACGCAGAAGAATAGGGGAGTGTGATGTTACACGATTGGCAGACGTCACGATTAACAGTTACGTCAAAAGTGTGCAATGAAAGAACAAATAAGGCAGAGGATTTTTTTTTTTTAAATTTAAAAGAGAAGTTTGTTTGGAATGCGGACATACACTAAGAAGAAAATATTGAAACACAATTAATAGTATAACGTTACTCAACAAATAAAAATAGGGTGAGAATTCTTTTACTAATATTGAAAGTGAAGCTATTCCTAGTGACAAAAATTATACCTTTTCATAGCATAAAAAACATCTTGCATTTATGTTTGTATTAATTTCAAAAACAGTTTTTATACGTTTTAGTGAAGTGTCTAAATCAATAATAACGCAACATCGGCTGTACAAAATCAACCTATTCCATTTAAAGTTTTTCCGTAAGCATAATAGTAATAGTACAGTAAGACCCCGCTTAACGCGGGGGATACGTTCCATCAAAGTAGAGCGTAATGCGAAACAGCGCTAAACGAGGCTATCTTTACATGTAAATATTGGGGTTAGGGGAAGATGGCTAGGAAATTGGTTAGGTATTAAATTTAAAAAGTATGTTTTTTTAATAAAAATAAAACCAAACATTTATTTCTTAAAGCCCAAATTAATACCACATTATTATTTCTTGCAAAAATAAAAACAAAATATAAATAACAAAACGAATATTCTTAAAAAAAACAAATAAAATTCTAAGTCAGTCATATTTAGTTAGCCTTCCGCGTTTTCAGTGTTCTGCCTTTTTGTGACAAAAGCATCTAATGTTGTTTGCCTTTTTCTTTTGCGTTGTTCTCTTAAAAGTTCTTCATAAACGGATAGAGCATCTCTAACACCACGCCTTACTTTTGAGCTCCTGTCAAAATTCGGATCATTTTCAATGAATTGATCCATTATTTCAGTTTTGGTAGACAAACTCCTTTTTACAAACGCCATCGAAAGTTCTTTTTGCTCTTCTTCTGAATCACTGCTGTCAACATAAAGGGCGACTTGGGATTACGGGACCCTCGTCAAAGACTGGTGGTGATACTTTTTTTAATTCAGACGCCACTGTAGAGATATTATTTTATTTCGAAGCAGGAGAGATGAAAAATGAGCAATGCCCTCGCTGGGGTTTCGAACCACGGACTTCTCGCATACGCGCTGAGTGTGCTGATCATTACACTTCAAAGGCATGCTAAGAGATACCTTATAGAACATGCTATGAAGGGCGGCCCCTTATAGAACAATCCAGAAACGCATTTACATTAAAACAGCTGTAAGCGCAGATTCATTATTTGGGCGTAGCAACAACATAATACGTTGATCTAATTTTACTGAATTTTATTCTTCAGAAGTACTTTTCTTTCATGCATGTGTATCGGCATACCGTCCTTCATATTATCACAATAACGCATCAAGTATTTTTTATCCTCTTCGCATAAATGTTTATTAAATAAAAACTCACGTTTCTTCGACGATTCGTAACCAATTAAAGCTATCTCACACATCTTCTACACATTTACGAATGCAAATTATACCTTAAAAGTTTTTTTAATAAGCTGCAT